ATGCTTACTGTCTTTGCTCCACATTTTTCAAGGGTTACTGGACTAGGCATATCGAACGCCAAAGACGTTTCATCCATATTACCAATATATCTAACAGGGTAGTCATACTGATTACGTTTGACCAAAATCAAACTAAGGAATTCACTTTGTTTTTCAGCCAGGGCTACCGGAAGGTGTTGCGCAACAGTTGTACATCTATGGTTCAAAAGATCATTACGACATAAGAACCGACTTAACCAGGAAATAGAAAATTTAAAGCTAGCGATGTTAGGGTAAGCATTCTTAATTTCATCAGTCTGGGCCAAAGCTTTAGCCTTCCTAACTACCATATTTCTAGTAACAGCATGTTGCATATTACGATGCTCTTCGATCCAATCTATTAAGTTTTCTTCAAACAGGGGGTACTGTGCTTGCCGACCACGATTGAGTATTAAAGCGTACAGTGCTGCATTCAGAAGTTCTTGCTTTTTGTTATGCCACTCACGGACTTGTTTCGGTTCAATTTCAAAACATTTCGCAGTTGCCCTTATACTATTAATACGCTCCAAGTAGAAGATAACCATAAGTTTTTCTTTAACACTCCACGAACGACGACTTTTATTAGTAATACGGGCACGTCTCGCAATATTTTTTCTTGAAGGCATCTTTGTTTTAAAAAGGTTTGAAAGTTTTTGTTCTATATATTGTTCTTTGAATTATGTATTGTTGGATGAGGAGAATGCAAGTAATGAAAATACTGAAGAAGTATTGACTTTTGATAATATTGATGGAGACGAATATGAAGAAGTCGAAGTTGATAATGTTTGGGAATAATGATAGAGTTTGATTTTTGTTTTTTTTTTTCTTCTAATTTTATATCTGCATATTGTAGCTTACGATAATCAAATTTGATTCTATAATAAAACTGCTAGATTTAAGAAATAAATTCGAATTTCGAAATTGGTTCAATTAATTTGTTAAATTCATTGCTTCGACTTTTTACACTTCCCTAAATTTTTGATGCAATATATTGAACATGATTAGTATGGTGGTTTGCAAAAAAGTGTGACCTGTAAATCGTGAAAATTGGCCGATCTTAGCAGATTTTTTAATTCTCCCAAGATTTCGAATAAATATAGACGTTACTAATTGACGATAGAAATTTAGAATCTCAGAAATTTTCAACTATCATCATTACAAAATCACTTTTTTGCAAGCTGCCATAATTTAGGCCCAATTCCAAAAAATCGCAGTGATATCATAACGCACAGGTTAGCAGATCTAAAATCTGAATTTATTTAGCTAAATTATAAAAATTAAAATTTAAAAAATTTTTTTTGACCAATCTATAAGTAGTACCCGGGTATAAATCAAAAATTGGTATTCAATTGCTACGGGGTATATTGTATGGATACAATACCCAGGTATAAACAAAAAATTGGCCTTCAAAATGCTGCAGGATATATCTCATAGGGGGGTACACATGTCGGATAAATACGGTAAATATATAAATAATTTAGTAAATAAAGGTATATCAAATTAATAATACAAAACACTCAAGAATTATATTTGCCAAATTAATTTGTTTAGCAATTTAATAATACTTTAATTAATAATTTTAAAACCTTTTTTAAACAAAAAAAATATTGTAATATCAAAATTACTATTATAAATAATTATATTTTTGAAGTATATTTAATAATTTTAAATATCTAGTCTTCTTATTTTTAAAAAGTTTTACAAAATAATATAAAACAATATAAAGTAACTTTAGCAAACATTTTGGCTAAATGTTTTAAAATATTATTAGAGCATATATATTTTTTTGCTTTTAATAAAAAAATTTTAATTATTAATTTATATTTAATTTTTTATAATAGATATATGTATAATAAAAACTTTTTATTAAATAATTATGAAATGTCAAAAATATTAAAAATTTATTTAGCTACTACAAAGTTTAATATTAGTAAAATCATTGATTATTTAAATATAATAATTATATTTAAAATTTAATATTTTATTTTTTATATTTCTGTTTATATTTTTTAATA